AAAAAAAAAAAAAAAGAAAAAGAAAAAGATTGCAATAAAAAAATCCTCTTTTGCTAGTATTAAATTTCAAAATCCAGTGAATTTAATAGAAGTTATTATAGGTGACATCACCTCTAAGATTTTTAAAATAACAAGAGCCATTAAATAAAACTGCATTTAAATTATTTAAGGCACTCAGATAATTAAAAATGACTGAGTTAACCATGATACTCCATGAAACAAAAAGTTCACTTTTGGCAACCAAAAAAGAAAAAAAATGTTTTCAATTTAGTTTAAAATTTTCAGTAAAATAATGTATATATACTAAGTAAAGTTTAGTGTACTTTAGAAGAGATAAAAATATAAATTGCAAAGCAACATGCTTCATTACATAAACAAAACTATGAATTCAATTAAGCAACAATAGCCAAATAAGAAATGCTGTTGCTGAGTTCATCAATGATTAATAAGTACCTAGACAAACAGTACTTACGACAAATTAATAAATTCTACCATTTTTAAAAATTCTTCATGAAACAGTGTGTTTCTTTGGAATATTTAAGTTGTTACACTACTATTAAAATATTACTAGGGTGTCATAAAATCCTGTTTAGATCCACACTTTAAAAGTCTATTTGCTCTAGGTTTTGATGACACCCAAAGTAGTATTAACGAACACTCAATGAATATATGTGTACTATCATTGTTAACATGAAGATAACTAAGGATATTTTCAGAAATCAGAAAAATAAACTTTTCAAGTTCCAATGACAGAATTCTATTATGTTAAAAAAAAAAAAAACCTCTAATCTCATAATTATCTGCTTTATAATTCTCTCTTCTCCAACTCTACACAATAGGACACTCTTATAAGAGCAGCTTCTTTTGTTACCTTAACCCCCAAAGTGAACACATGGCCAAGATGCTGAGAAAATTTTGATGGTGACAATGAAATTATTGAAACCAACCACTAAGTTTTACCCATGAAATCTACTTCCACTGGAAGGGCATTCTCAAACCCTACACACCTTTACCTTTTAAAACTAAGCATTAAATTTACTAGCTTACTAGTTAATATTTTTTAAGATATAGTTTAAACCAACAATCCATGGAGAAGGGCAAGCAGTGTATAAACCATAATTTGGGATTCAAAAATGCAGTAAAATACATTGAAAGGAAAGCAAAAGTGCTCGGATCATCTTAATTTTGAATATTCCCCACCTTGTCCTACCCCATTTTCCCTAAACGATAAATAAGCCTATTATCTTAACATGTAATTGCTAAGTATATAATTTATTCTAATTTTACTTGCTCTAATATCTGGCATTATACTGACTGTTCAAAATTTTAAAAAGTTTAAATAATATAAACAAAAGCAGCATGTCAATGTAGTTGATAAAAAATATGGAAAACACTGTGGGTTGAGAATTCATAAATGTAAGGAAGTTATATCCTATAATCGTAACTATTTCTTAAGGATAATAACATCAGTATCATATATACACAACATTCTAGTTAAGTAAAAAATTAGTCATTTCCATAATTTTCTTCCTTTTGTACATTTGTGTTCTCAATCACAATGTTGTATTGCCTTTTTAAGTTTTTCTTTTAATTATACACAACAGCAAGAAACTAACTCTTGAGAAGAATCTCAAAGTTTCAATATTCCATTCACTGAATACTAGATATTTGAAATGGATAATTTAATAAAACATCAGACTTTTAATCTGAAGTTCCAGGGTTTAAATCTCTAGTCTAAGATCTAAGCACAGGGCAGAGCACATACTTGGGTGCTCGATAAACACTATAATATTGAACATTTTGTCTTTAGTCTTCCCAGCATAAACCGAAACCAGACCAAGTGAATGGTGACTGGATACCATACTCTGACCATAGTCAGACCAGTGTGAAATGATTTATGTGCTACCAGTGTAGTTCCCAGATAGTACACATGCACCTCACAAAAGCCACCACCACAAACAACTAACACCCTTTAATGGCAGGCTCAGAAAAAAGGCCAAGGAGACTGAGCTACCTTCTCACACCTGGAGTCATTTCTCCAGGCCCTGGTTGAGTCACACTGGCAAAGTGCTTTGTGGTGGGTGTGCACTGCAAATTCCTGTACTGTATCTGTTCTGTGGATAAACAGAAGACTTCAGTCTCCAAACAGACAACTCGGCACCTTTATAGCAGTACTGAATTTAAAATTTAGGGACTGGGTTTTTTGTTTTGGAATTTGCTTTTAAAAGCTTCTCTGAATGTCTTGTTCTGCAAATGATTACCTTTTCTTGTGCTTCTTTCCAGGCTTTCACTGGGTCAGATTCATAACCTCTCTGGACTAACATTTGAATCAAATCTTTCTTTGACCTATTCTCTATGTGAGGGAAAAATAAAGTTAGGATCAAGAAAAGAGATTCAATTTGTATTTGTTTATATTCTACTGATAAAAATGTCTTCTATTAATAAAGATTTTTTTTCCATTTTAACTAATGTTTAAATTTTTAAAGATTGCATCTTACCTATAGTAATTTTTCCTTGTATCTTCTCTAAAATGAAACGGGCTTGATTGTTAAGCTTTGTAGATTCTGCTCCCAACATTCCTACAAGCCACTCCTTACGTAAACCATAATAACTTAATCGTAAATCAAAGAATTCTTTCAAAATGTCTTGCACGGTTTCATACTTCTTGAGACATCCCATATGATCAAAGAGTACCTAAGAAAAACACAGTTTTTGAAGATGACATAAATCTGTATTGGTATTTTTAACTTGTGTGACATCTACAGTACTTAAAATAACTATAACACACTTAAATGAACATACACCACCCCTAAAAGCTGTTAAACAGAACCAAAACTATTAAGTACATTTCGGTAAATATTCTTTTCAAGAAACTGATAAATTCTCAAAACTATGAAAATATTTAAAATAATTTTGAAAATAAAAATAGATCCTTTAAAAAAAGGTTCTAATTCAAAATGGCTATAAAACCATCTAAGAAATTTTTTTCAAACTAAAAGCATTCTAAGTTTACAAATGTTAAATTTAAAGTTCTCTCTCCCCCATATACTCAATAGATGTGTATTTGTCTCTTTTTGTTTGTTTATAATTATGCTATAATTCATTCAAACTTTCTCAATTTGGAGGAAAATTTTTACTTCTTCTCTATCCTTTTTCTCCTTTTTTCTGTCTTTCTTAGCAGATCATGGCAGTTTGTCTCAGCCACTGTGCTACTGGATTTTTTCTTTATGTCTAAAAGCTAATTTGGAATGGAATGAGGGTAATCATACATGTTCACTTTCTACCTTTCTCTCCAATTATATACAAACACAAATATACAAGTTTAATAAAGCAGATTAGAAATATGGGGAGATGAGTACTCCACAATTAAAATGCTAATAGAGACAGGCATAAGGAACATGAAAATCCTGCACCAATCACTCCCATAACTTTTGGTCAGGGTGTGTATATCCCATGTGCTCAAGCCCAGATGCACCAATGCAGAGTTGGGATTAAGAGTAGTGGATAATAATCTAAAGGAATGCACCTTTAGATTCTTGATCAAATATACAGGGGGAAAAACATTCAGACTTACTACAGCCACAACCATCATGAAACCAATTATAAAAATTCTACTTATGGCATGGAAGAAACATTAAATTAATAGTAAATCTAGTCAATTACCATGGAATTACACGTAAGAGTAGTTTGAAGTTTAAAAACTTTGTGCAATCCAGCAGCTTCTGCTTGTGCTAGCTTCTCTTCAGTCATTTTCACCACAAATTTCACAGTTGTATCAGTATGATATTCTTTATAATCAGAAATTAATGCCGGTGTTTTATCTGTTCCATTTAACATAGGTTCTAAAACCTGTTCTTTGTATACCTATAAAAGATTTAAAAAAAAGTAATTCTTTTCCTGACACACACTCACGTTCTCATACTACAAATCATGCAATTTTTTAAATATTCCCTACTCTGGTGGGGAAAAAAAGAAAAACCTCCCTCTCTATCATCTGCCCAGTCTGTACAGAGGACAATATACGGGGGTCTCAATGGTGAAAGAAGATATACAACGTAACGGTTCTGATTTGCTCACACACCAAAGGGCAAGGAAAAGGCTAAGTATGAAGAGGATGACATTAACTACATCTGACAAGAGATGACATGCATACTTTTAGATCTGTAACAGCTGATACTGACATGAATTTGTTAACCATATTTATAAGGGTTCCAAGCCAGCTTAAGTCATTCTACATGTAGAGAAATTAAGCTTTTAAATTACTATTTGAATACTCAAAGCACAAATTCAACTGGATGGGTCAAAAATGTATATAGGAATTTTTAAACACGATACAGACTTAGGACAAACAACAATGGAATCATATTCTTACCAGAAAGCATTCCACTGCCCTCCTGACAGGCAGCGAAAATACTTCTACTAACCTGTGTCCAAGTTCTAACTGGAAGCTCTGTAATCTCCACTGTGTTTCTATCCACCACAAATATTTCACCACTGACTGCATACTGGTTTTGACCAAGCTCTTGGATGGTTCCTTTAAAGTTTTTGTAATTTGGAAGCTGCAGAGAAAAATAAAAATAACTTAAGGCCCTGACTTCTCTCCTAACCGCCAGTACAATATTTGAATGCCCCTTAGTCTATGGTCTACTGCTACTAACAGATTAACATGAATGAAACTAAATTCCTCATCCTTAATAGTCTGTCTCCAAATAATCACTCAACCTTGAATTCATAGCTTCTGTTAATATAATCTCAGCATCTCGCAATCTCAAAACCTTAGCTTTAGGCGCCCAGGTGGCTCAGTCTAAGTGTCTGCCTTTGGCTCAGGTCATGATCTCAGAGTCCTGGGATACCACCCTGCCTTGGACTCCCTGCTCAGTGGGGAGTCTGCTTCTCCTTCTCCTTCTGCTCCGCCCCCCTGCTCTTGCACTCTGTCTCAAATAAATAATCTGTAAAAACAAAAACAAAAAACCTTAGCTTCATCTTTCCTAGTCTTAGAATATTTTTTTCAGCCTATTGCCTCTATACCTCCTTCTCCCCTAGACTAATAGTCCTTTAAAATCAAACTCCTTGGATGTTATATTGAAAGTCTTCCACAGTCTGGACCCATTCTAACTTTCTAACTTTTCTCCAATGATTTGCCTTCCATACCCTGAATATTTTGAATATTCTTACCTATATATGTATATGTATCTATATACACATATACGTATCTACCCGTATATATACTGAGCACATGAAAACATGTATTGACCAGATTGTCTTAATATTCTAAAATACATCTGAAAGGATTAAAACACTATAATCATAAAGCATTTTATACTTCTATTAGAAATATCTTAAGTACTTTAAAGTATTTAAGGAGAAAAACAGATTTTAAATCATACTAGTAATGTTTTATTTTAAAATACAAGAATGAGGGCGCCTGGGTGGCTCAGTCGTTAAGCGTCTGCCTTCGGCTCAGGTCGTGATCCCTGGGTCCCGGGATCGAGTCCCACATCGGGCTCCCTGCTCGGCGGGAGGCCTGCTTCTCCCTCTCCCACTCCCCCTGCTTGTGTTCCTGCTCTCGCTATCTCTCTCTCTGTCAAATAAATAAAATCTTTAAAAAAAATAAAAAATAAAATACAAGAATGAAATAAAACTTGGAGAGAAATACATAAAACCATGAAGTGTGTTTCTATATGCTGGTTTTATCAAGTTTTTTTCCTCTTTGCTTATATTTTCTACAATAAGCCCTACCATTTTTGTAATACAAATACATTTTAAGTGTATCATGATAAAGGGAAATTTCCAGATGATTTTAAATCACATAGAAAAGGGGAGGACACTTTTTTGAGAAGTTTTTCTTGGAGGTAGTTTGGGGCAAAAACAAGCACAGTGGATGATATAAGGGCAAAAAAAAAAATATGGGGATACATTAAAATATATACAATTGTTTTTAAGATTCCTTACAACTCCAATATGACTTAGTTTGAGAACAAAAAGTTGCATATAATTTTGTCATAAAAACATTATTCTCTATGTAATTTAGATATTTGAAAACCTGAAATATGAAGTATTTTTAATTTTCAAAAAAGTTTTTCCCCATAATCCTTATCTCCAGGCTTTTCCCAAAGCTTGTATCTTTTACTATAAGCACATATTAAGTTACATACTAAGGTCTTTATTGTCCACATATGTTCCAAAATGCAAATGCTTCCATTACTTTTCTAAAATGACTGGACTTTGTAGTTAGTACATTATCATTTGTTAAATAAACAATATAAGCAGTAAGTTCTAAATAATTACCATAGGATGAGGATCCAAGCCATCTAGCATTCGTCTGACATTGTTCACAATTTCCCTAGCATCATAGTTGGGTAGTTTACAAGCCCATCCAGTACCAATGCCCTCAGCACCATTTATTAAAACCATGGGAATTATAGGAATATACCACTCAGGTTCAACGCGTTGATTATCATCATAAAGGAATTTGAGCAGGTTGTCATCCACAGCAGGAAAAAGCAGTCTTGATAAAGAGCTAATGAAAGGGAAAAAATATGGAAAAATGTCCCGTTTTAGGAAATTAAACTTTATAAAGACTTTACATTTCAAAAATTAAGAAAAATGCTTTCTAAAATTTTGATTACATGTACTTAAATACAACTTACCTAAACTTACTACCAAATACATTTCTCTCAGGCAGAAAGCCAGAATAAAATAGCCCTATTTTACTTACGTGCTTACTTACTAGTCCACCTAATTTCTTAGTATTGATAAATCATGTTTTATGGATTTCCTCTTACTCTGACTAAACCCCCAAACCCTTCTTCAGCCTAAAAAGTAGTTGGATCAGAAAAAATCCTTACATTAATTAGGACATGTTTCACCAATAAGTCACAAACACTGAGATCAACAAACTTCATTCTATTTGCAATCAAGTAATTTGGAGCATTCACGCTCAACAGAGTACCCAATCATCTCTCCATACTTACAATTCTATTAAACATTTAGTTAGTTCCAATATACTTCAAGTAGAACTTTATATCACTGTATCAGCAAACTGTTACCTTAACATTGTGAAAATATAACGAGGGCTTGCAGCATCTTTGCCACCATGAAGCCGAGTTCCAAACTGACCAATAGGCTGAAGCAAGTTAATGTTGTTGCTTCCCACAAAGTTCTGAGCCAAATTCACAATAGTCATCATCAATGCTTGCTACAGCATAGAAACAGAATATAATATTAATATTCTAAATTTTCTATACATATTCCCTAATTTTTATTAAAATCCAAATTCTTGATTCTCTTACATTTCCAAAGAACTTATAAAAGAAAAAATACTTTATTATGCTTAATTATCATTCTTCATGCCCGTAAATACAGTTTTCAATTGATTGCAATCTTAATGCTTACTTCTCCATGATGATAAGCAGACATCTCAGCAACAGATCCAGCCAACTGGGCAACTTTTACTTCACGTTTATCATTCCTCTTGAAACAGGTAAATAAAACTTTTCGTTGTCCTGGTTTAAAACCTATTTTTAAAAAGAACAACCCTCTTTTAAAAATATTACTCCAGATATAGTTGCAATGTTTCTTTTAATGACAACAGTGTTCTATATATTCAGGAGAAAAAAGCAAAGATATAGTTTGCTTTTGAAAAATAACTAAAATTGTTACTTGAGATTCTATAACACAGTAAGTACATAGTAACATGTTTTTATATCATCTCAGTCTATTCCAAAAGTGAGGTGCCAGGTAAAAGACCACCCCTTCTGGTCTTAAAGAACTGCTCAATGGCACCAAATCCCTTTCACAGGAGTTGCCGAGTTGCAGAACATTCATACACCCAAAATGTCAGTTGTAACTAAAGTAGCAGCAAACCATCAATAAGCCTAAAAAGTATATTACTAGAGTATCCCAAATCAGAAAACCCTTATAAAGAAGAGATGTGATGTGGCAGTTAAGAATGCAGGCTTTAGAATCTCACTGATCTGGATACTCTTCTCAACTTGGCCATTTACCATTTGACTTTTTGCAAATTACTAAACCAATAGTCTCAGCGTCCTCATCAGTGTAATAGAAATAATTACCTTCCTAACAGGGTGATCATAAGGATTACATGAGATAATGCAAGCAAAGCATTCTGCTTCCTTATCATTCTTCTTGCTCTAGGCCAATGAGCACAGTAATAAACTTTTCAGTATATGCTAGCTATCATCATCATCGTGGGCTCAGAACATGGTAGAAACAAGATGACAAAATATGGCCACTTTCCTTGAGAATTTTATAATCTAATTGAGGAGGCAAAATTGACACAAGTAAAATAAGAGGCACACAATACTGGAAGAGAAGTTTAGGCATCTGAAACCAATTTAGACTGCAATTGTTAGAGAAGACTTCACAGAAGGGATGTAACTTAAAGCTGAATTAGATGGATGGGTAGAACCATCTGCTATTAGCTGAAAACCCAAGCAACACAAAGATCAACTTGCTAAAAGTTATAAAACGAAAATTAAATATTTCCAGATAGAAGAAAAAAAACTCCTCTAACTATCAAGTACCAGTTTCCAAATTTTTTTTGGCAAGTTCGATAAGTTAGGTTTTGGGTACTAAGGCATAAAGGTGTTTTTTAAAATTTAGTCTTGGATAACTATTTTAGAATCTATAAAAATCCCATTTTATATTTTATTTTAAAAAGTCTGCAATCAACCTGGGGCAAACCTTTAAAAACTGGCTTTAAGGTTCATTTTCCTGAAAAGCTTAAAAAGCATTTAAGAGATTCAAATTAAGGAATATGAAAGATTTCAGTCCTACCAAAAGATCTCAAAAACAAATTCAGAATTTTAAATTTTATTATAAGAATAGCTTATAGTACATGAAATTAAAATATACTCAATAACTACATACAAAAGTGAGAAAGATTTTAAAACAAAAGCTACTTACCATCAACAAGAGATGGTATAGATCTTTCATTGTCTGAGTTTGAGAAGAGAATCAATTCCTTGTTGATGAAATCATTGTAAGTCAAATGTTTTGTTGCTGTACCATACAAAAATTGCTAAGAGAAAAGTTATATAGCAACACTGTCATTATTCCTGCATGAATTTTAGTCTCTTTCATCCCCAGACCACCACTCTTTATGACTAACCTCTGGTAAGCCATGTAACCTACGCTGTCTCCGGTCTTCCATAAAATTGGTTAACCATTCTTTTCTGTCATCAATCTTCTTTTTACTGAATGCCTGAAAGATTCCAGGTAACAATTCCACACATTAAAAATTAAATGACTTTCATTATACAAATAAAATTTATAAAGGCAAATAACTAATTATTAATTTCTCAGAAATTGAGTTTTTTTTCCAATAGGCTTTTGTCAAAAATATACTTGAACAGAAGTCTTTCAATTAAAGAACTTTGAAAGCAGAGCATCTGTGTGTGAGACTGGGGTGAAGAAACACTAAGATTAACTAGTTTGGACATTTGAGTTCAAAAGAGACTTACAGAAAATCAAGACTGGGAAGAAAGGTATGGCAGGAAGGGGGATGGATATCATGAAAAAATTTTTTTAATTAACTTGATTACCAAGGTAATGGCAGCATCGTCTTCAGGACCAGCATATCTAAACAAGATGCGGTGCCTTTCCATATCAGCAAAATATTCCTTTGCTTCTTTAGCTGTGCTGGTACCCAACCCTGCACAATTTAAAAAATAAAATTGAAAAAAATCCAGACAGAGAACGACAAATACTACATGAGCTCACTTACATGTAGAATCTAAAATTTCGAACTCATAAAAAGAGTAAAATGGTAGTTGCCGGGGACTGGGGAGAGGGGGAAATGGGGAAATGTCAATCAAAGAGTACAAACTTTCAGTTACAAGGTGAATAAGTTCTGGGGATTTAATGTATAGCATGGTGCCTACAGTTAATAATACTATGTTGTATACTTGAAAATTGCTAAGAGATCTTAAATGTTCCTTCCATACACACAAAAAATTAACTATGTGAGGTGATGGATATGTTAATTAACTTGATTGTGGTAATCAGTTTACAACATACGCATATATCAAAACATCATGTTGTATACTTTAGATATGTATAATTTTATTTGTCAATTCTTCTTCAAAAAAGCTGAAAAAATTTCCAAGAATTATGAACATTAATGGCTGTTTAAAACCATTAAAAGCTGACAGATCAAGCTGGCAACACATGTACCAATGGATCAATTTTAATAGACAAAAACCAGACATTACATGCCTCCTGATGTAAATATACAATACCACTTGTTAAATGTTTTTGCAACGTAAATCTAATCCAAGTCTTATCAAGCCTCCAATTTAACTACCAGTTAACAGAAAGTAAGAGGCAGAGGAACATACTATATACTTAATGAAATTACAGGGATAATCAGCAAAATCCAGAATGTGTTAAATTATACAGGACAAACAATCCAACTTTTTGAACAAATAAATTACAAGGAAAAAAATATGAAAAGAGAAACAATATATTAAGATTTAATAGATTTATCAAACCAAATGCAATGTGTGGACCCTGACTGGATCCAGACTCAAAACAAAACAAACATTTTTATTATAATCAGAAGAATTTTAACAATGACTATTTAAGGTTATTAAAGAAAGATATGATAAATTATGAACATTCTTTAAACATTCTTTTAGAGATACATACTAATATATTATGGAAATAATATAAAATCTAGAAGTTATTTCAAACTAATGGGGAGGAGATAAGAGTTTTGATAAACAGGATTGGCAGTGAAATGGTGATTATTTGAGTGCATGGGAAGCCCATCATACCAGTCTCTCTACTTCTATAAAATTTTCCATAAATTCTTTAAAAATCAACCATAGCTACTTTTTGTAGTCTAAAACAAACTTTCCAAATATTTTATAATGATCTCAAAAATAAATTTATGTCAGTGGTAACTTCACAAAATTTAAGTATTTTAAAATACAAACCTTTGTAGTATTTTATTTTCCAGGCTTTCTGGTTTTCTATATGTTTTTTCCACTCATCAAATTCAGGAATACTATAGAAGGAAAGTTCCTGCTTATTTTTGCTAGCCTTAAATTAATAAAAAAAAAAATTAGTTTTCTGCTATTCTTTAAGCAACAGTATAAAAATATATTAATGTAAATAGTACCTTCACAATAGGAGTAATGAACTCTTCAAGAAAGCCATGCTTCAAAAGTGATGGCCAATTGTGATGGATGAAATTAATAAGCAGGCCTTTAATGTGAGAACCATCTTGATCCTAAATAAATGTTAGTAAAGAGTGCTATAATAATTTTATGAACCATAATTATTTATATAACCAAATTTTAAAATGTATGAATGTAGCACAGGCAAAATTCCAAATTTTGGAACTGCACTTTAAAAACCAGTAAAGATTATCCTTTAGATGTACACAGTAAAGAATTTTTTCTTAAAATTTAAATAATGAATATAGCTAGTGATAGACTAAATCTTCCTATCATTACAAAATACACTATCATTGTATGTTTTATATAGATTTCACTAAGAGAATGATATAAGGATGAAAATACATAAAACATGGTTATAATGCCACTTCACTGAACAAGGGAAGGAGTAATCCATGGAGTACAGGTGTGAAGTCTTATCTTGATATAAAAACTGCTAAATATCTGCTTAAAACTACATAGCAGCTTTTTCAGTGGAAGATTTTCTATACAAATGCTTTTAATTAGAGTACATGAGACATGCAGTTGGATGCATATGAAATTCTTCCATTTTGGTTTTCCAGTTCTTTCCTAATTACTGCCATTTTACTATTCAAGTCCTAGTTTTTGCACATCTCAAATTATGCCATCATATACAAACATTATCCATCATCCTATTGATTAATCTTTGTTGCTTAAAAATTTCATCATTCCCTTTCGACTTATAGGTAGGCTTCAACCCCACAATACTACCATGCATTCTACTCTTCTCATATTTATTGCATTTAAAAACATTTTTAAAATAACCAAAAAGATGGCTGCATAAAATGTGCCTCACACAAACAATGCCATTGAATGTTTTCTTCTCCTCACTTTGATGTACAATCATTTTCCCTTTTACTTTCTTGGAGAAAGTCTCATGAAACAAATATCAAAAGGGCACTCTGAAAAAGATAAGTTTTAAATATGTGGCAACCTTTAAACCAACCTGATCAGTCATAATCATAATCTTCCCATAGCGTAAAGTTTTCAGAGATTCTGCATCATCATAACTTTTCTTGTACTGTAGACCAACTATTTTGATAATATTGTTTATTTCTGCATTTTCCATGATCTGTGCAAAAAGAAAAATAATTCAAAGTATGTTAAAAGTGTTGAGGGGTGCCTGGCTGGCTCAGTCGGTAGAGTATGCGACTGTTGATCTCAGGGTTGTAAATTCAAGCCCAACACTGGGTGTAGAAAGTACTTAAAAATTAAAAAAAAAAATTTTTTTAAGTGTTGAAATATATAAAAAGTGAGTCAGAATTTACTTTTAAAAACTGAGCAATTTAAATAAAGTATTAAAATGTCATATATATGTGGAGATATGAGAGAAAGATACCTGTTTATGAGAAGCTTCCCGTACGTTAAGAATTTTTCCCCTAAGTGGAAAGACTCCATATCTGTCTCGCCCAATCACACCTAATCCAGACACAGCCAACGATTTGGCAGAGTCTCCCTCTGTTAATATCAGTGTACACTCCAGGGAATGTTTGCCACCTGAGAGATATTAAAAATGACATATACTCCAAATTCCTCAATTTTACCAATGAGAAAAATGAAGCCAGAAAAATTAATAATCACAATGACAGTAAAAGGTTAAGAGTAACATTATGCTCAGCATACTTTAAATGTTAAGTATATTTTACTGAATTCCTATCCCCTGAAAATTGGTAATATGTAGTGCATGTGTAATTTTAATGAAGTAAAATTATACTCTGCACATAAAATTGTATAGTCTGGAAAATGAATATTTTCTATAACCATACAATTTAACACTTAAAATCTTGAAAAAAAAAAATCTGAATCTTACCAGCATCATTAGCATCATCCAGTTTGGGAATACCTTTGATTTTACTATACTTTACTGATGAACACTTCTTGTTCAGCTGAGTCTGGGCTTTAAATTTCACCCAATTCAGAATACTTTCTACAATGCCACAGTTAGAAGCCTAAAAATCAAAGAATAATGATATACAAACAAGCCAGAAGTTCACACACTTAGCTAAAATTAATGTAATACTTGGAATCTGTGCAGTTATATGGCGAAACACTAACGGTGATGATAATGATACATGCTAGTAAATTTTACTCTAACTACAGTAAAGCTAACTCAGGCAGCTATACACAATAACCTATTGTACAGAAATACAAACAGATTTCAATAAAGGGCAACTTACCAAAATATGAAAAGAACTATTATAATAAACCCCATGAAAAATATACATAGCTTTTGTTGCAAGTTAATTTTGTTAAAATTAACATGGTAAATGCTGATCCACCCATGAATTTACTAGCTGGGAAATTCTAGACACTGACATTTCTTATATTCCTCAAAAACACAAATCTTGAATTTGCTATGACAAAAACTATTAATATATAGGAAACATTAGGATAATCAAGAACTTATGAATCATCCTTATTCTTTAAAAAGTTTGGTAATGAGAATTTCAACATTATATATTGTGTGTCACCATGCAGTGAGTCAATGTGTGACGAGATGTTAACCCAAAAAGAAGAGTGAAGAATCTCCAAGTTGGAGCTATTTATTTTTCATTATCCTGGGTAGTTTGATTTTAGGTGTAAGAAATAGTTTTCTGCAATGTGAGATATAAAAAGAGGTGGACTATGTTGCCAAATCTAAACTTAATCCACTCAAAATGAAAAAGTATAAAATCTAAAATCACTTCATCATGAATGCTATGAGGGCATAAATTTGCAAAAGCATTAATGTAGGGTCATTTGTATTCAGAATTAATGATTAGATGCAAAAGTACTATTTCTATAGGCTTTAAGCTGGGAACCTAAAAAACAACTTTTGTTTGTGAGGGCATACCTTTGAATTTACAATACCAGAATGTGATAAGTAAATTATTTCTATGGCAATTACAAAACACTCCTCCACCAAACTATAAACTTCCAAAGGGGGCTGTGATTTATTCATCTTTACATTCACAGTGCAAATATATTTAAAGGCACTTTACATATGTTTATTTAATATAGGTTTACTGATGGTACTGCTGAACAAGGGAAGTGAAGTAAATCTTGCTTATATACAACAGATTTTGAGAAATTATTAACAACTGCAAGGCTCAGTTATAAACCTAAGATTATTTATTTGTACTCTCACCTCATTAAAACAGTCCAAATACACGCAAAGTAAAATGAAATTTTAAAATATGTAGAATATGATAAATTTTATATTATGCATAGATTATCAAAATTTCAAAAAAAAAAACTATACAAAGGTAAAAATCAGTAGATGAAGTTGCAAGGAGTAGAAAAGATGAAATCAGGAGTCCTATAAGGACCTGTACATTTGTTAGAGGAAAATCTAGCTGTAAAATGGCCAATAAAAAGCTAAAAACACAATCAGTTACATGAATCCCTACTTTCTTGGCAAAACAACCCATTGTTTTACAAAACAAAGTCTATCCTTAGTGGTTTTCAGAATTAATTAAAATAAATCAACTAATTATTAATTTACAGTATAAGTGCCTATGCTCACAGTTAATATGAGAAACTAATCACAAAGAATAAATAAGTCAAGAAAACTACTTAATCAACTCTCAATAAAAGCACTGAGAAATAATAAAAATTTTACTCACTGCTTTAAAAAATTTTTCTGACAGTTGGCATTTGGACCCAAAACTTTTGGGTTGCAGAGTCATGTTTTCCTTAGTCTGAGAATCAAAAGTTGGATTTTCAATAAGGCAATTAATAAAAACCCATATATGGTTCTTTACCTGTTGAAAACATACCCCAAAAAAAAAAGTCAACATCAGAACTTATATCATTTAATAATTCAACAGAATATATAAAGCACCACTTACTTGAAATGGTTTTACTGATACACCAGCTTTGTTCTTTTTCTTAACTACTTCAATCAGTTTACCAACAACTTGATCTACTACATAATCCACATGACGTCCACCCTAAACAGGATCAAAAAAATAGAATATAAGATTTTCTATAGCTAGGGTAGCAAAATACTTACATATTCTTTTTTTTCTTGAATGAGCATTTAATCTTCACAACTTTGTGGAGTCAATATTATTAACCCAATTATGCAGAGGCATAATATGAATCTCAGAATTGCAGAGTTGGTTTTTAAAAAATAAGGTCTGAGGCGCCTGGGTGGCTCAGTCATTAAGCATCTGTCTTTGGCTCAGGTCATGACCCCAGGGTCCTGGGATCGAGCCCAGCATCAGGCTCCCTGCTCGGCGGGAAGCCTGCTTCTCCCTCTCCCACTCCCCCTGCTTGTGTTCCCTCTCTCGCTGTGTCTCTCTCTGACAAATAAACTTTAAAAATCTTTAAAAAAAAAATAAAAATAATTTTAGAAACTAAAAATAAGGTCTTTTTGGCTCTAGGTCCAATTAGCCAACCATATAGAACCATACACAAAGTAAAAACAATCAAATAAAGAAACATGGAAATGAGAAAAAATACTAGCAGACACAAGACTCAAACTTAGGAAATGTGGCAGCCATTGCCAGTTGGCCATCCAATGTCCATTCCCCCCTTTATTAAAAAACCTAAATTTGTTTTTACTTGGCAACATGCCCAGTTGGGTTAAAATATTAACCAATCTAGACTCCCTTGCAGTAGAGGTAGCCACTTGACTCAGTTCTAGCCAGAGACGTTAGTGAGATACACTAGATGGGATTTCCAGGAAAACTACTGTATTCCTGATAAAAAGGGAGTGATTTAGTTGGTATACACATTTGCCCAGACCCTTTCTCTCTCCCTAGAACTTGGAATTGAGGCATAGAGAAAAGAGCAGGTATCTTAAAGGCATGAGAATGAAAGCCACATGCTAAGGATGGCAGAAAAGAAAGTGAGGAAGAGCCTGGTCCCTGATGATGTAGAGTCACAGTACCAAACTAAGACTGCCTTCTCCCAGTCCCCAGTTATAAGAAGAAAAAATAAAACCTTTACATCTTTATGCCATTGTACATTAGGTTTCTATTACATATTACAAAATGCAATCATAACTAATGCAAAACTTGTTGACTTGAGAAAGTGATGCTAGATCATAAAAAACACAGTATTAAAAAAATAAGTTAAAACTTGAAGAGTGACAAATTATCAAATCCCTGCTTTAGATTATTCTAGAATACATGCTTGTATTGCCTAAGACTTTATTATGATCAATGGACAAATGCTTTTAGATGAGAAAAATTTCACTCACTTTTGAAATCCAAAAGCCTACAGAAGAGTGTTCAAACTCCTTTGAATGGCATATAACACATTCCACCATCTGACCCCAAAACAGACTCCTCTCCTATTATTCCTTCTTTTACACTCTAAACTCAGAACAGACTAAGGAATGTGTTAACATTCTAAATTCATAAAATATAAATGTATTCAACTATAAACACTAATCATATAAACTCAATGCTCAATGAATGTTTATATAAACTATAAGAGTTATTTTCATAGAAAATAAGTTTTCATTTTCATAAGCCAATTTTTATTTCACAAAAGCAGATTTGGAGTTTTTTGTTAATGTTTTTTATTTTGTTTTTAATGAAGGATTGTTCTATCACTGACATGGCAACAAAGAAATAGCACACTTACTTTTGTTGTTGCAATACTATTTACAAAGCTGATTTGCTGGAATCCCTTTTCACTCAGTGTGAGACAAACATCCCATCTTTCATTTGCAAGTTCATGAATAACTTTCAGCGCCACTCCAGTTTCATCCAACTTGTCTTTCACATAAAGATCTACATAACTGCGAAATCCATTTACCTATTAATCAGAAAACCAAAACCAATAAACAATCTTATATTGGCAGCTCAACTAGGTGAATGCCATCAGGTACTCTTACAGTTTCATTTTCCCTCATTCACAACAGCTCTTACTCCTCAGATCCAAACCTTCATGACTTCCCCCACTGTATTCCTTGATCCCTGCCTTTAAAAAGGAATTCATTTCTATATGTATCTGATAAAGAGAGGCTATGAAGGACAGGTAAATTATTATAAACTCTTTCGAAAGTTTAAGTTTTAAAATGACAAAGTAGACATCTAGTTTGAGTTCAGACATATAGAAGGCTTAAAGAAAAAAAAAAGAAAAGCTTCTGCCCTTACAAGAAAACAGCTGGTCAGACAGCAAACTGATTTTTCAAGAACCCTCAAAAAAAAAAAAAAAAAAAACTGAATTCACAGGACAGCTGGCCATCCTGAGTCTGAAGAGAAACAAGTGTCTATAAGGAGTCACAGAACACTAACCAATTTGCTTAAGTGAGGCAGAAGCTGCCTAATGTCATATAAGCCAAAATGAACATTAAACCAGAAATTCTGACAAGTTGCTGTAGGACAAATGTGGACAGTATGGGTATGTGAAGTACCTGAGGACTGTCATCATAAGGGGTTCCTACACTTACAGGCTTTTTCTCCAGAAACTCCAGCATGTTCTCACAGGGAAGGTCAGGGAAAATCTAGAAAAAGCTCCCCACCACGGTACTGCTGGTTGAGGGGAGAGAATAACAGCAGCCACTGGGAATTCCACCCGGGCTCCTCTCCCTTACCCATCCCAACCACAAAAACAAAACAAAACAAAAACAAAAACCAAAGAAAACAAAAACCTTAATTTGCAGGGGGAAAGATACTGCTAAAGAGTATTGGTAAAATATCACTATAGCTGGAATAAAATAATTCCAGCCCTACCTCATCCCACTCCCATCTCATTTAAGAAGAAAAAAAAAGTTTATTTTAAGGAGCAGGGATCCTGAAGAATACTAAATGAGAATACTGGTGGATACATGCTGCAGTTAGGGGAAGAAAATAAAGGGCAGAGGAAAAATCTCTACTTCTATAAGAGAGGTAGAAACACTTGTGAAGGCCAAACCCCTGAGACACAGGGCCAGAATGTACTCCAAAGTTTTGAGACTCAGTCAGACGTAAGTATCCTACAACCTACCACCATGTTAACAGGCCTCCAATAATAACTGGATTTCAGCAGGTTGGGCTGCAGAGACAGACCCTCCTTAAGGGGCAGCTCCAAGGCAAGGCCCAAAAACAAAAGACAAAAACAAGGAAGAATTTTACATTTCTGGTGCCAAAAGCAACAACAAACCTCAGTGCTAGTTAAGTACAAAAACAATAAACTGCAAACACAGCCATTTCCTGTACAGATTAAACATAAATCCTGATACTAAAGCCTATTTGCTCTGTATCTACTATCCTATACAACGGGGCTGATTGTCAACAAAAGCATATGAGGCATGCCAAAAGGCAAGAAAAAACAGACTGAAAAGACAAAGCAATCATCAGAACCAGACTCAGATATGTCACAGATGTTTTAACTATCATATAAGGCATTTAAAATAACTATGATTACTATGTTCAAGGCTCTAATGGAAAAGGTACACAATATACAACTTCAGCAGAGAGATGGAAGCTTTAAGAAATAATCAAATGGAAATGCTAGGAATCAAAGGCACAGTAGAAGATATGAAGAATGCCATCAGCAGACTCATCAACAGACATATTAAAGGAAAAAATTAGTGAACTTAAAAATAGGGAAAGAGAAATTAAACAAACTGAAACACAAAGAGAAAATAGTGACTAAAGCAGAGCAAAACATTCAGGAGCTTAGGACAATACCAAACTATATAACATGTGCATAACTGGAATGCCAGAAGGAAAGATCAGCAAAGAAATATTTGAGAAATAATGGCCAAAATTTTTCCAGAATTAGTGACAGACACCAAACAGATCCAAGAAGCTCAGAAAATAGAATGAAAAAAATACACAACATCAAAAAACAAAGCCAAACCCCCATATAAACACCTAAGCATACCATACTCGAAACAAAACAAAACAAAACAAAAAAGCAAAGACAAAGAGAAAATCTTCAAAGCAGCCAAAGGGAAAAATAAACACCTTACCAACAGAGGAAGAAGGATATGAACTATAGCAGAAACCATGCAAACAAGAAGACAACTGGATGACATTAAAAGAAAAATACTGTAAACCCATAATTCTATATCCAGGGAAATTCTGTATCTTTTGAAAGTAAAGGCAAATACTCTCTCAAACAGACTGAGGGTATTTATTGCCAGACCTACCTACAAGAAATGAAAGATTTCCAGGCAGAAGAAATACGATTAATATCAGAAACTTAGATCTATACCAAGAAATTAGGAGCACTGGAAATGGAATAAATGAAAGTAAAACAGAATCCTGTGTTGTATTTTTAATTGTTCTAAAAGATAACTGACTGCTTAAAGTAGTTAGATTTAACTGTAAGCTGCCCAGAAAATAACAAAGCATTTACTATTTTAGAAGACACTTACAGGCAATTTCTTTCCATTAAACATGACCTTGACCCCCTTGCATGAACCAGCCAAATCATAAGCTCTTCTGGTCATGAGGGCCACAATATCCTTGTCAAGCTTTTCCATCTTAAATTTAGACAGATCTGGTTGGAATGTTATGCATGTGTAATCTTCACCATCAAAATGCTTAATTTTGGCTTCAGAAGTCTTCATCATGTTATTCATCCATGTCTTTAAAAGAAAAAATACTCAAATATTTCTATAATGCTTCTATATTTTATTATACATAAGACTCAGTTCATGAAATACATTCATTTACCACAACTATATCCATTTCCAGCTTTACAACAAACCAAACAAATCCTTGAAACTGATATTAGAGATGAAAAAAATTTAAAAACTACTACAGTTGTCCCTCCTTATCTATGTTCCAAAACCAGAAACCATGGAGAGTACCAAACCCTATATAAACTGTTTTTTCCATACACACCTATGATAAAGCTTACCTTATAAATTAGGCACAGTAAGAGGTTAATAATAATAAAATAGAACAATTATACTTTAATAAAAGTTATATGAATGTGGTCTTTCTCTCTCAAAATACCTTATTGTACTGTACTCAACCTTCTTGGATGATGTGAGATGATAAAATGCCTACGTGACGAGATGAAGTGAGGTGAATGATGTAGGCACTGTGACAGAGCATTAGGCTACTACTAACCTTCCAACGATATGTCAGAAGGAGGATCATTTGCTTCTGAACCGCGGTTGCCCACGGGTAACTAAAACCATGGAAAGTGAAACCACAGATGGCAGCGGGGGGGGCGGGGGACACTATTATAATAACCTCATTTGAAAATAAGCAAAATGAATTGCACTTTATATACTATTAGTAAAATAACTTTGAAATTCTTCAACATAATCATTTAGAATTTTACATAAATAAATACTATGCTTTCCCTGACCAAATTACTTTACCTTATGTAAAATTTCAAACTATTTTCAAAGGGCTACCAGAGTAAAATAAGACAGAATTTTGAAATATGAACTTGATGAATCAATGAAGAATTTTTCAAATATGCTAAGTGGATACATTTCAATTAGTCTGTAAGGTTCAAGACATTACTGGTAATGCTTAACTAGGTTAAAGGAAAAGTCTATTAAATAAAGCTCTTCATTTTCAAGGAACAGGAGAAAGATTTATGTAAAATCTCCTAGGCATTCTGAAGTCTTTTTACTCTACTGACATGCTTAATGCTTTTTAAAAAAAAGTGACATAGGCATCATTGCCATTTACCTAAGGTTCTATTATCTTAGCAAAGCAACACAACACACACACACAAAAATTAGACACTTTTCTATCATACCTGCTTAAAACTATGTTTGTATTCTTTGCAAGCAGTTTCTACTGTAAACTTTGTACTGAAAATATTACAAAGTTTTGCACCATAACCATTGCGACCACCTGTAAGAAAAATCAAATGTGAAAGATTTAATGAAAAGGATTTTAGGAACTTTGTTAACTACCATGGGACAAGTCTGTTGCAAAATAGTTCCACTTACTGCATTATTCAATCACCAATTGAATATTTCAGAGTATATTTAGATTTTTTCATTTAAAGAAAAATACAATTAAGATTTAGCACATACAGTAATATAAGTAACATGCATTTTGTAGATTCATTAATTTCATCACAATTTCAAAAAAAATTAAGCTTGCTATCTCCTATAATCAAGTAAATCTGCGTGAGTATGAAATCTGACCTTTCTATCAAAGTTACTTCTCTATTACAAAATTTAATCTACATCACTTCCTAAAGCTCTGGCTTTAAAAAATAAATAAAAACCATCAACCCACTTGAGCAATGGAAATAAGTAGGAAAACACTGGTTTTGATCAAAGCACTTCAACTCTATTTACAAAACCTAGATTTACAATCTTGACCCTTGTAAAACAGTTTAGAAGTAATTCAACTGATACCAAAAGACATGGTTCTCTTATGCAATAAGAAATTCACATATATAGGAATCATACATCTGATTTTCATCAGCACCCTAATTCGAAACTCAAACTGTTAGCCAGGTTAGAGTTCTAGCAGTTGTAGCATAAGGCAAAGTACTATCAATTAAGCTTTTAAAATGTCTCTGTCAGACTATAATCAAGATAATACTTACACATGATAGTTTTTTATAGATACTAATTCTGAAAAGAATTTTCTCACAATAAAGCTACACAGGTTTCCTTTTCTATAATACTTTACATAGGAATAGTTAAATTTTATGTTGGAAGTATAAAAAAATTCAATAAAAATTCTGATCAGCTATTTAGACTTTACCTGTTACTTTTTTCTCATCATCATCATAGTTACTGGATGTTAAAAGCTGTCCAAAAATTAACGCTGGAACATAAACTTTCTCTACTTTGTGTTCTACTACTGGAATGCCTTTCCCATTATTCCAAATGCTTATAATATTTGATTCACTGTAAATAAACAAGCAGAGTTTAGAGCTTAACATTTCCATAAAAAGTAAAGCAATCCAGAACAAACCTAAGTAATTATAAGCAAAACTCCAGCCATTACTAATTGAAGACACTCATCTTTCAAGAAAATACTTGCTGAGGACACACTTTTCTACCCAAGTCATAACTCAAATTAGGGCCACTAAGACCTACAGGCAATGCTGAAAAATTTCTCAGGAAAAGAAACTCTCCTCAACTTCCCAGAAAATAGTAAAAGCAGTGAAGCTTCTACCAGAAGTCAGCTCCAGATTCTGTTTTCTTTTCATCTGTATTAGCCACAATCTTCCTGCTTCATTCTACCAGTACACCACCTGTAAACCACAAGCTCTGCAGGGCCAGGAGCCATTGCCATTTTCATTCCCTAACTACTGTTGCAGTACATATGGAAAAGGACAAACAGCGTGAAATGTATTCCATTCTCACCCTAAATATTACTGGGTTGTTTGCATTATGGCAATCACTGTCATAAACTAATTTTAATATTTTTAAAATATCTAGATTTTACCTATTTTAGGTTTTTTAGGTTTTCCTATCACAAAACCATCCATTTAAGCCCTGAATGGTATGCAGCAGAGGCTCCTATAGCTAAAGCAACTTGACACAGGCAGTAGTCCTGATGGAAAATTTTGAGTAGTATATGCTATCATTCTGAGTAGTATATACTATAATGCCTTTACCCATTTAAAAGCCAAATTTGCAAAGAAACACAGCTTCATAACCAACACTAAGAATTGGTTTAAAAAGCTACCATTTGACAATCTGATTCATAATTATTCTTAGATATACAGTTTCACTCACACATACACACCGTAATCTCTGAAGAGGTATTAGAAGTAGTTATCACAACTAAAAAATTTGTTATAAAAGCCAAAATTAAAACCATATACCCAAGGGGAAATCAATTAATTAAATCAAATTAAGTAGGAAGGAAAGAGGGAGGGAGGGAGGGAGGAAGGAAGCAAGCAAGCAAGCTAACAAATAACTTTTAGCACATCTTCTTTCCCTAATCAGAAACCAACTTTTCTTTTCCTCACTGTCCAATACAGGTTCAACTCTTCAAATGTCCTAAGGCTCAAATTTTGATAGCCTTTTTTTATTCAGATCTCCTGATCATTCTCTAGAGTCCTTAGTCATCAAGACTTACTAGTTTGTCCTTAGGTTCTTTTATTCAGTATTCAGTCCTTTCTTTATCCCAAATGCCAATTTACCAGTCTAGACTGATATCCCCTAAATACTGTAAATTAAGCTTAAAAGTCCTCTACTGCATGTTCACAGCCCATTATCCAGATCCTTAATTATCGCCAAATTTAATTCCCACTATTTCACAACATGTATCCTGCTTTTCCTTCAAGTCAGTTTATTACTTGTCCTGAATGTTCATTCCCAGTTCTTCCATTTCTTTGTTTAGTGGTCTTTCCCTTGCCTTAATGTCTTTTTACTCTTTGTCTAGCCAAAATTTACCCTGAGAGTCAGTTTATGACTTCAGTTCTCCATTAAGCCTTTTACCCAGCCTATAACAATGTTTCCCAACCCTCCTTATATACCAAGACTAGCCAGAAAAAAAAAAACAAAACTAAATTATTGATTGGGTAACCCAGGAGATGATTAGATTATCTTGCTTGTGGGTAAACACTCTCTACAGAATACACAGCTGAATGTTTAAGCATGTAACAGTTTCAAATTGCCTACTATATAGTTTCACTTGTGCCTCCTAAAGGCAGTGGACCCTAGAAACAAGGGCCAGCTACTACACTACTTTTTTAAACTTCCAAATAGTTCCCAGCGTTAGGCTTAAAATTAATAAAGAAGAATTCTGAAGGAAATAAAGAAAGGCAATGAATGGAAAATTACAGATCTTAAGTATCTCAGAATGATACAAAGCTAATACACTCATGAGTAAACCTTTAAAATTGTTTTCATCAATTTAGCATATCATATATGGTACTATAATTAAGATGGGTATTTTGTAAATTCATTATCTTTATCACAGTTTACAAAAAATAAGGCTTGACATCTCCTACGTTCAGTAAGTCTATATGAGTATGAAATTTGAACTTTCTATCAAAGTCACCTCTATTGAAAAATTTCAATCTATAATCTCTTCCCAGATCTGGCATTTAGGTCTGTAAGCTCTAAACAATGATTCAGAGTTCTATAACTATATTCTTTGCTCCATCAATAATCTTCACAGAAATACTAGGAAAAAGAATACTGTGTTTGAATAAGCTACAAATAAAGTTTTGAAATATTTAAAGCTAAAAAAGAAACCTGGGAAATAATCTAAATATCTAATATTCGTTAACTGTTAAGAGGTTAAATTATGATATACCGACATAATAAAATAATTCGTAATAGGTTAAAAAAAGATTTAAGTAAATCTATATAAGTTAATAACAAAGGCTGTCCACAACATGTCAAATAAAAATAGAAAAGTATATAATCCTACCTTTTAAAAAAATAAAAATGTATCTGTATACATATTTCAATATGAGTGTGTACTATTTTTTTAAAGCTACAGATTTAAGATTTTTAACCTTAAATAAACAAGAATAGTTAAACTAGAAGGACTGTTAGAACTCTGGTTAATGTGCTTTCCACATTTGTTTTTAATCAGATAGACACCAGCAAATACTAACAATCATATAAAGAGTTTTAAGCTCCTTTGTAAAAAGGTGCTTCAATTTCTCTAATTTTCTAAAAGAGCTGTCCAAATTCTGCATGGTACCCCTTGCTAATGTATTCTTATGCCTTTTACAACCATGGTTGTTATTTAAATTTTATCCCCATATTACTTGTTTGAGTACTATTGAGAGCAAGAGGTAAGCTGTGCTGTATGGCCTCCACACTTAACCCATTAACTATCAAAATTTAACCTGTCCTTTACACAGAGTTCAGGTACACACATGCACAAAGAAAAATTTTAAATCTGCTATACAAAATGTTAAAAAGAATGAAACAGAGGATATCAAAAATGGACAGCAAAAAAAACTGGGTCAACGAAATAAACTGCAGAATAGCATGTTTTCCCATTTCAATTCTGCTTTTAAATAACTTCTTAAATAAGAAATCTAAAATTGTCTCTGAAATGAAATTCATTTTTATAAAAACAGCATTAATTCTGTGCTAATACACAGTAAAAGAAAAAATAAGGAATGAGCTTATGGGAGGAAATTCACAAAAGACAAAATGTTATGGTTAAAATTCAGAAACACAATATAAATAAATAACAAAATATGAGCAACATAGCAACATCTCCCAAAATGCTTGTCTATTGCCAACTGTAAATATATATTTTAATATTTAAACATATATTAAAATATATACTATATATTTCAATTAAAAGCAGGAGAAAGGGCGCCTGGGTGGCTCAGTTGGTTAAGCGACTGCCTTCGGCTCAGGTCATGATCCTGGAGTCCCTGGATCGAGTCCCGCATCAGGCTTCCTGCTCGGCAGGGAGTCTGCTTCGTCCTCTGACCCTATCCCCTCTCAGG